TAACTGATAAATGAATGAACGAAAGAACAAATAAATTAATAAATAAATAACTAATTTAATTAATTTTAATTAATTAAAATCAATTAAATTAGACAGCAGCTTCCGGTTTCTGGGCTAATTTATCTTCCTCGTAGCAGAGCTTAACCTGCTCCAACTCCTTCACGAAAATAATAATAATAATAATTATAAATACAAACATATATTCATTTCCTTCATTCACTCACTGATTCACTCACTGATTCACTCACTGATTCATTCATTCATTCATTCATTCATTCATTCATTCATTCATTCATTCATTTATTCATTCATTCACTCATTCATTCATTCCCTCACTCACTTTTTCAACATCTCTATTGAGCGCGTTTTGTTGTTCAAGGTGCATCTTCTTCAGCCTATCCATTTGGGCGGACTGAGTGTGTATTTGCTTCTTGCGCTCTTCTATGAATCTCTTCATGTTATTCTCATTCAACTCCCTTATGCGTCTGTATATGTGTGCGTATGTGTATGTGCGTGTGTGTGCGTGTATGTGCGTGCGTGTGTGCGTGCGTGTGCGTGTTCAAGTCGAATGAGTAGTTTTGTTTGTTATTGTAACGTTAGTGATGATGATGATTGGAGCAACTGCACATCGTCGTCGTCATCATCACAATCATCATCGTCGTTCGTCGTCGTCATCACTATCCCTACCACCATCATCACTATAACCGACCTATCCTTTTCCGCCTTCATCTTGATGTTCTTATCATTCATAAGGGATCGTCCGGATTCGATAGACATCTTCGTCTGCCTCTGCTTCATGTCCTTGTTCTCCCTGGTTGATCGCATGGTCGGTCGGTTGATTGAGTCATTGATTGGGTCATTGATTGAGTTATTGAAGATTAGTGGTTAAATGATAAGCCAACCAGCCAACCAACCAACCAACCAGCCAGCCAACCAACCAACCAACCAACCAACCAACCAACCAATCGACCAATCAACTGGCAAACTAGACAACAAGCTAACTTTTCATGCCTGGCCTCAAGTTCTTTAATCTGGCCTTGTTGGGCGTCGGACAGCAAGCTGTTCAGCATCTCGTGCTGCTGTTTGATGTGCTGCTGCTTCAGCTCATGCTCTTCCAGCATTTGTTTCGATATCAAATCAGTCCACTCTCTTGTCTGCTCGCTGACCAACTCGTTTACTTTTAACTGTGTATGTGTGTACGTGTTTGTGTGTGTACGTGTGTGGTTCTGTGTATGTGTGTATGTTTCTGTGTGCTTTGAATGGCTGTGTATTGGTGGAATGAATGATGTTATTTGCGATTAATTGCAAATAATGATTGGTTTTTATAACGTTAAAGTGTAAATAGATGTTTCTATGTATGTATCCGTGTGTGTTTGTGTATGTATGAGTGTGTATGTATGTGTGGGTGTGCAAATGTGAGCGTATTTCAGTGGCTTCTCAGTAATATTTTTGTTGAATACATGATGTAGCTAAGAAACAACTGACAGATCTTTTAATATGCTTTCGTTTTATTTTTTTTCTTGCAATTTTTTCAGAGAATGTTTTTAGTCTAGACGGATGAATATAAAAAAAAGTGTGTGTAATAATTAACATTTTTCATTTCATATACTTTTATCAAAATTATTCATTCATCCATTCATTCACTAATTCATTCACTAATTTATTTATTTATTTATTCATTCATTCATTCATTCATTCATTCATTCATTCATTCATTCATTCATTCATTCATTCATTCACTCATCTCACCTTATGCTTCTCCAGTAGATTAGTAACTTGCGCATCTTGTGCGCTTTCAGGAGTCTTGACGTCTTCACTTTTATGATCATTATCAGTATTGTCGTTATCATCATCATCATCATAATCATAATCATCATCATCATCATTATCATCATCGCCAACATCAGCATTACCAATAGCAATACGGTCAAGATAATCATCACCATCATCATCTTTATCATCTTTTCATCCTCATCGTGAAAATCCTCGCACCACCATCACCACCATCACCATCCTCCTCACACCACCACCGTCATCATCCTCCTCCTCCTCATCATCATCATCAGTACCTCTTCTTGCCACTACTTCCGCCAGCGAATGACGACGACGACGACGACGACGATGATTTCTTTTCCAGCTGAGTCTTTTCCTTATCGTTATCGGACAGTGCTTTCTCAACGGCCGAGCAATGAAATTTGTAAACCGTAGTCCGTTCTTTGGAGAACTTCTTACCTGGGATGGTGACGATAACGATGATGGTGGTGGTGAAGATTGTGATGGTGAAGAAGAAGATGATGATGATGGTCACGATGATGATGGTGATGATGATGATAACAACAACAATGATGGTCACGACGACGATGATGATGATGGTAGTGATGCAGGTGATGATGAAAATGTTGCCGATTGTGATGAAAAAAAAGAAGATGATGATGAGGATGTAGATTATCATCATCATCATCATTATCATCATCATCATCATTCTTCTCACCACCTATATTTTCGATATCTTTGAACTGTTTCTTCAGCAGCTTGCAAAATTGCTTATCGGCTCTCAGAGTATCCAGTTGGATGGCCTCAAAACCCAGGTCGTCTGTGATTGGTTGGTTAAGCTTATTAAATTAACAAAGCCGTCTTTGATTGGTTGGTTAGACATAATAAATAAACAAGATGACCTGTAATTGGACAGACGGATTCATATATATATATATATACAACCACCACCACCACCATCATCATCATCATCAGCAGCAGCAGCAGCAGCATCAGCACCACCTTTCTTATCCTTCTTCTCAGTACTGACGGAATTAAGTGCTCCTGTACTCGATGAACCGACACTCGTCCTTGCGGCCATGGTTGTCGAGGACGACGACGAGATGACTGCACCTGTGACGTCATCATCATCGTCATCGTCATCACCATTATCAACAAACCACACCAACAAACCACACCGTAACAGACAAAGAAAGAAACAAACAAAAACAAACAACACACCAACAAACACAACACCAGCAGACCACACCAACACCTACGCAAACCAACACCAACACAAACCTTCCAACGGGTGCCTCATATGTTGCGGGATGCCAGCACTCACGCAATCGCCGCCACCAGGCATGTTGTTGCTGCGACTGATCTGCTGCTGCAGCTGCTGATGCGACTTCTTGTTCGCTTTAGATAGGCCGCCTATTTCAGAGATGTCCGTTTCATCAATCCCCATTCCTGAATATTTTCCAAACGAACGAATTATGCCATTTGTAAGGGTTTTTTTTTTATTAGACTTCTGTTAAAAGGTACTTCAAAAGAACCCTGGGCGCTATATAAATGGTACATTATTATTGTCATTATTATTATTATTATTATAAGAATAATAAGAATGATTGAACCCCAATTGAAACAATCAAACCAGCCCCCTCTAAAATGTACTCACTCGCAGTGACGAGCATTTTAGATTAATAGGATTTTATAATTATTTCATTATTGATACTTGGTATTTGGAGTTAGAAAACTAGAAGGATGTTCTCATTATTATTATTATTATTATTACTATCATTATTATTATTATTATTATTATTGTTATTGTCGTCTTTTATTTTCATCACTCATTAACCTTCCATTTGTTTGGCGCGTTTCTCAGCCTGCGTCATGAACTGTATGGGTGCAGAAAGGGCGTCTACAAAATCTGACAGGTTGGTTGGTTGGTTGGTCGATTGACTGATTGATTTGTTGATTGATTGGTTGCCTAATAGGTCAGTTGATTGATTGGTTGATTGGCTGGTCGGTTTATCGATCGGTTGATGGATTGGTTAATTGATTAGTTGGTTTATTATTGAATGATCGATCGAATGATTAGTAAAAACTTTTAATATTGCCTGATTGAAGATTTTATTCAAATTTTTTATAGGTAAAAACATAACACACCGATCAATCAACCAATCAACCAACCGATCAACCAACCAACCGACCAACCAACCGACCAACTAACCAAATCAACCAACCAACCTCCAAATCCTTCAGGGACGTAGGTCTTCAAGACAATCTTACAGAACACAGTAGGTAATGAAAGTGGAAAGTTTCCTTCAGTCCTTAAGGAAATATGGCGGTACCCTAAAAATGTAAATCGATATCATCAACCAACCACTCAAATAATCAGCTATCTAATTATCAATCAATCAATCAATCAATCAATCAATCAATCAATCAATCAATCAATCAATCAATCAATCAATCAATCAATCAATCAATCAACCAATCAATCAATCAACCAATCAATCAGTCAACCAACCAATCAATCAATAAACCAATCAGTCAACCAACCAACCGGCTTGCAGCCCATCTAGTGGCAGAATTCTCTGACCAATCAGCTTTCCCGCCTCTTCATACACAGCAATCCTCAACACAGCCAAGTCGGGTAGTACGACCTGGTCGGTTGATTAATCGGTAGTTCTTAATGAATGCTCGATTTAACCGATTTTTCATCCCATCGACCGACTAATCGACCGACTAATAAACCGGCCGGCCTACAAACAAATAAACCGACCGACTAACCTTTCTAAAGACAAAAGGTTCCTCGTTATAAATGGGATTGAGGCCATTGTTTGGCACGGTCCGCGTCCGGAATTCCTTCCTTATGGTATCCGTCGGCAGTCCGTACATGTCCACCTCCACGTACGTCCCCACCTTCTTGTCCGATAGGAACTGTCCCGAAATTACCTAGGTGGATATTTTTAGGGGGGTCGTAAAAAAAAATGTAACAACAACGAGCATCAACAACAACAACCAACAACACACACTCCAGCGTGTGTAAATACGCGTGAATCCACGCATCACATGCATTGCACGTGAGAGGCGAGCATCTCCTCTTTGTAATCGATCCCGGAGACTGCAACAACAGAGGCAGGCGCCTTAACCATTACACTACATACCTGTATAGAGCAGTGAGCAGCGATGACACCGTCCACGGGACTCTCTGAGAATGGGTCGAAGATTCTGTCCTTCCTCCGCATGAAGTCCGGCTTCAAGAGGTAGCTGTCACAAGTGCATTCATTCCAAGTGCATTGTTAATGCATTCCAAGTGCATTTCAAGTACATTTCAAGTGCATTATCCATGCATCGTAAGTGCATCCATTCAAAGTTCATTATCGGTGCAAAGTGCATGGTAGATAAATGATTAACAAGAGTGGATGGGCATATAAATGAGTGAATGGATGAATCAATCAATCAATTAATGGATGGATGGATGAAATGATTAACAAATGAGTAAATGAACGTACGGATGAATGAATGAACTGACTGATACCTGATAGGATGAGTAACATTGAAATAGAACGGTTTGAAATAGAAGTAGATGAAAAATAAATAACCGACAATAAATCTATAGAAAAAACAAACGAACCCGCAATTTTTATTGTATTCAAACTTTCCCTGGTTCAACTGCATGGCGAGGTCAGGTGTTTGAAAGTTCAGCGCAACCATCTGACAGCCGGCATTCCAAAATATCTACACCACACACACACACATATATATATAGTTAATTATGGTATATAAAATGTAAATTGGGGGCCTACAATATGTTACCTACCTGAGGCATGTAGTTACTGGAATCAACTCTGCCCCCTTTCGGATATATTCTACTCATTTGGCGCTTGTTGTAACTGTCAGCGAGTGAATGAACGAAAGAATGAGTAAATGAATGAGCGATTGAATGAGCGAATGAATGAATGAGAAAATGAATGAATGAATGAGAAAATGAATGAATGAATGAGAAAATGAATGAATGAATGAGAAAATGAATGAATAAACTACTGAGATCATAGTCGTCAATGGATCGATTGGTGAATAGACTAACTTAACAAATTCTACGGCGTATTGCTTGAGACAGCCTAGAGCGACAGACTCGTTGAATGAGGACATGTGGAAGTGGCAGTTCTTCTCTGAGAATTGTTGGTTGGTTGGTTGATTGGTTGGTTAGTTGTTTGATTGATTGGTTGGTTAGTTGTTTGGTTGATTGGTTGGTTGATTTGTTGGTTAGTTGTTTGATTGACTGGTTGGTTGATTTGTTGGTTAGTTGTTTGGCTAGTTGTTTGGTTGATTGGTTGGTTGATTGGTTGGTTAGTTGATTGGTTGGCTAAAATAAAAAAAATAAACAATAAGATCCTCCAACCAATCAACCAACAAACCAATCAACCAGCTAACCGATCAATCAACCAACCAATCAGCCAGTCAGACAACCAACAAACCTTCGGCCACATCGAACCCTTGAAACTTGACTGGCTGCGTGTAGTTGACCATGGCGGAGAGGTAGGGGTGGATGTTAGTGGTTGCGCTGGGGTAGTGCTTGCTGGCGTTTGTCATGTACGTCTTCAGGTCATCCTCCAAGATGGCCGACTGCATCATGACGTCATCGTCCGCTGACGAGTCCTGCTGGAGATTCTGTCGTTCATTGGTCAGTTAATTGTTGTGATTGGTTGGTTGGTTGAGTGGTTGGTCGATTGAGTAATTGGTTGGTTGGTGCGGTTGACTGACGGTATGTTAGTCGTTCAATTGGTTTGGTTAGTGATGGAATGGGAAGTGTGAATGAAAAAATGGAAAAGAACAGAAAGAGATAAAAAGAAATAGAAAGAGAGAGAGAGAGAAAAAAAGAGAGAGGGAGAGAGAAAGAGAGAGAGAGAGAAAAAAGAGAGAGAGAGAGGGAGAGAGAAAGAAAGAGAGAGAGAGAAAGAGAGAAGTAATAAAGAAAGATAAAAAATGAAACGAGAAAATAACTTGATAGAAGCAGAAGAGAGAGAGAGAGAGAGAAATAAAATGGAGTGCGTATATTTATTACGTACGCACAGACACTTCAAAATTATAACAACCCTGGTGATAACAATGAGAATAATAATAATAATAATTATAATAATAATAATAAAATTGATAGTAATAATAACAATAAAATATGGAGAACCTTTTTATCGACTTTAATGCTGGTTTGTTTCTTGGGTATGGTCGCTTCGAGCATTTCCGGGTGGGGGTCCATCTCGACTTTTAGGGATGGGCTGAAATCTTCAGGGGAGAAAAAAACCAAAATAAATTAACCAAAAACACTAAATATGGCAAACGTGTAGGTGTATCTATATATATAAAAAAAACATACACACGATTATCAACACAAACCCTACTCAAAAAACCGTAACACAAAACACACACAGACGCACACACACACACACACTCTCACGAACACACAAACTCACACACACACACACAAACTATCAACAAACCACCTAACAACACAAACAATCTTTATCATCATCGTCTTCATTATAAGACCGTGGACACATTTACCCCTAACCCATACATACCCCCTCCTAAGGTGGAATCCTCCCCCTCAACGAGGGGTCCCTCGTGATCATCAGGATTGTCCGCGTCGTCCAAGATGAATTTTTCAGACCCCTGGTAAAATAACTCCAACTGTTCTGTGTGTTCGTTTGTGTATGTGTGTGTGTGTATGTGTTTGTTTGTGACATGTGTGTATATGTGTGTGTGGTGTGTGTGTTTAATATTATCACCATCATTATCACCATCATTGTTACCACAATCATCATCAGCACCGATCGGGTCGGTTACCGACTTTTCTCAATGCTGGCTCTCAGTCTCTTGTTCTTGATCAAAATTTTTCTCTTCAGTCGGTTCGGCGAGGGCAGTGGCAATCCGGATTCTAACTTTGTGGTGGTAGTGAAGATGATGACGACGATGACGTAATCGTTATCACCATCATCATTATAATCATCATCATCATCATCATCATCATCACCGTCCTCGTCCAGGATAACAAACAACCACATCACTACCAACAACAATCACCAACTAAACATCAGATCACCACCATCACCACCATCATCATCACCATGACCGACTGAATATCCTTCGAGCGGCCTCTTGAGCAGCATATCTTCAAAGACATCCTCACAATATTTTGCCAACTTGTACTGCTGCAGTTTACTGGCCATGGCGACGATGATGGTGATGATTGTGTTGGTGATGATGATGATTGTGTTGGTGATGATGATTGTGTTGGTGATGATGATTGTATAGGTGATGATGATTGTGTTGGTAATGATAATGATGATTAAGTTGGTGATGATGATTGTGTTGGTGATGATGATGGTAAAGATGCTCATAGTAACGGTTAGTTATTTTAAAAAAATGTTACACGTGTATAAGAACTTATTTTAAAATCATTCCAATCATCAAATCACTCATTTCACTCCGTCACTCATTCACTCATTTATTCATTCGTTCGTTCATTTACTCATTCATTCAATCATTTATTCACTCATTCATTCATTTATTTATTTATTTGGAAAATAAATAAAGAACGAACTAATGAATGAATGAGTGGATGAATGAATGAATGAATGAATGAATGAATGAATGAATGAATGAATGAATGAATGAATGAATGAATGAATGAATGTTGGTAACTCACCTGCAATGGTTTTCAAACGACAATATAACAGGATACTCAGAAGTGACAAACGCCGTCTCTGCAATGGCCTAGTAGCGTTAATGAATAATTAATTAATTAATTAAATGAATAATTAATTAATTAATTTAATTAACCAAGCATATTCAATGAAATATAAATACAATGATGTATAGTATTATTATATACCAATAATTAAATACGTCTGAGGGCTGTTAAAACGAAGAGAAATGCTGAATGTAAATGAATAGCTTCTCATCCTAAACAATTAACTCTTTACAAAACTGTTAACTCTTTACAAAACTGTAAGTTTTTTGGTGTTCAGCTTTCGGCTTCGACAGAATAGTGAATCAACGGCTAAATTCACTTTTAGATACACCTCCATTGAAATCGAACGTTCAATATCTAACTAACCTGGATGACATCTTTGAAGAGGATATCCGTACACATGGCTCTGCCGTGGGTTATAATGGGTTCCTGGTCGTCCCCTCTACCGTCCCAACAATCCAGCTCTACGCATCTGTGTCCGTGTGTGTGCGTGCGTGCGTGTGCGTGTTCGTCCGTGTATGTGTGCGTGTGTGTGTGTGTACGTTCATCTAGGTGGATGGATGAATTATGGATGTGTAGAGATATGACTTCGCAATGACGTTTGTAAGACAGTGTGTGTGTATGCATGTGGAGAAATGTGCGTGTACAAGTATATGTGTGTGGCATGCGAATGTGCGTGTGTGCGTGAACCAAAATAGATGTAGAAATGTCTTTGTGTGTGTGTGTGTGTGTGTGTGTGTGTGTGGGTGTGTGTATGCGGTCAAAAAACAACTCGCATTAAATTTTGAAACTCTCAAAAATCATCTACTTGCCATGTTAGTTCGTGCTCTGTCTCGTGAAAATTGCAGCTGCTGATGCTGCCATTTCTGTCGCTAACATCACTATCGCAATAATTCGGAAAATAATGATGAAGCTACTACAGCTACTTCTAATAATGCTACTACTACTACAACTACTACCACCACTACAATTACTACAACCACTACTACTACAACCACTACTACAAGTACTATCACCACCACTACCACCAAATCACTACTACTACTACAACTACCACCACTACAATTACCACGACCCCTACTACTACTACCACCACCACCACCACCAACTAATCAACCTACCTACATCCGGCCAGCAGAACCTGCCGATACATTTCGACCGAACTTTTCCCGCCAAATTGTCTTCCGGTAAGGTAGGTGTTGTGTGAGGAGTTGATGTAGTAGTGCGATAGTGGCTGGTCCATGTCGGCGTATATATCGAGTCGGTCCAGGAAAACCGGCGCGTTCTCGTCGGACATTAGGTACCGACAGAAACCGTCCAGCGATATTACCTCTGCAGTGATCGTGGCGTTTGCGGATGATGTGGAGGATATATTGTTTTCATTTCAAATTTTATTCGGCAGAGCCAGGTAGTCAAGAAAGACAGGCTCTTGCGCGTAATATAGAAATAATAATAATAATAATAATAATAATAATAATAATAATAATAATAATAATAATAATAATGATAATAATGATAATAATAATAATAATGATGATGATGATTTTCTTTGAGATGTCAATGCTAATAAATGCCATTCAACTGACAAACATATTTTTTTCATTTTAAAATCATCTGTCATTTCTACAACTGCATTCAAATTTCGGCAAGAAAGTAAGTGAAAGAAATTATCAACCAGTCAATCAAACAATTAATCAAACAACCAACCAACCAATCATTCAATCATTCAATCAATCAACAAATCATTCAATCAATTAGCCAACCGGCCAATCACACTAACAAGCAATCAATCCAACGATAAATCAACAAATCAACCAGCCAATCAAATAATTAAACAATCAATCAATCAATCAGCCAGCCAACCGACCAATCACCTTGCTTCTTCAATTTCTCGTCTGTTTCATACATATCAATAATCTGAAGTACTCTTTTCTTCTCGAATGGCGGGAACAAAATTTCGTTCAGACGCGGGTCTCGCTGTTTCTATTGGCCAGGAAAATAGGTCGATAACTAGGTCAACCAATCAATCGATCAAGCAATTAATTAGGCATTAATTCAATCAATCAATCAATCAATCAACCAATCAATCAACCAAACAATCAATCGATCAATCGATCGATCAATCAATCAATCAACCAATCAATCAATCAAATTTATAAAGTGTAATTTCTGAAATGTCAACACACTTGAACCAACTGCTAAAAAACGAATCATTATTAATTGGACGATAATTAAGTGGTTGGTGGTAATAAGGTGAGGTAAATAAACAAGTTAATAAGGTCATCATCATCAACATCGTCGTCTTCGTAACCATCACCATCATCATCGTTATAACCATCACCGTCATCATCAACGTCATCATGATCAACACCATCATCACCATCGTTATAACCATCACCATCATCATGATCACTATCATCATCATAATCATCATCACCATCATCATCATCAACAACCAACATTATTAAGAAATTCAATGAACTGTGATGAAGCGAGCGTCTTGGAGTTCCCAGCACTGTGATTAATTAACATCATCATCGTCGTCATCATCATCTTCACCATCATCACCGTCATCCTCCTCCTCATCATCATCGTCGTCGTCATCATCAACACTGACATCACTATCTAAATGAGTCTAGCAAACATCATCATCGTCATCACCATCATCATCATTATGCAAGTATTAATACAATCAAACAAATCAGACGTTTATAATAAGGATAAATACAAAATAGCACACGCATACACAACAACATAGATACACGACACACACACGACACACACACACACACACACACACACATACAAACACGCACAATGAATGGATGCACAAAAACAGAGAAAAAAGAGTTAGAGGGAACGAGAAAAAGAGAGAGAGAAAAAAAGAAAGGGAGAGAGAGAGAGGAAGAAAAATAACGAGCAAAATAAAAAATTAATCAGGGAAATAACCTTTCATCTGACACACATACGCTCTTCAAAATCGCGGAATTAGCACGGAGAAATGGTAACACAGAGTGGAAAAGACTATAGATAGCCATGATCAATTTTTAATCTCCCGATTGGACATCCCAAGCCGGCAGGCCGGAATTAATCGGGAAATGAAAACATTATCATCGCATATAAGCAGTTGAATGGCCGTCAGCCTAACTATAAATAGAACTCTGGCTACTGTATACGTTTAGAAGTGGGTGCCTATGCAAGAGATTACCCATTAAGTATATCAAAACTGAAGCAAGGAAAAGAATTCTCTCTAATGATAACCACGGAGCAACATTCAAACACAGACAGACAGATACATACACACACGAGCAAACACAAACAGAGACATAGACAGACAGACGCATACATACTCAAACAAGCCAACACAAACAGAGACACAGACAAGGAAACAAAGACACGTACATATCTTTAAAGAGGTCCTCAATATCGGTCCTAGGGCAGATCTTATGGTAGAGTTCGTAGAACTTTTCAAATGTGAACGAGTCCATCTCTATCTCGTCGTTCTGTTTGTCGTGGAAGTTATTCTTTCCACTACTGCTACTACTACTGCTGCTGCTTCTACTACTGCTGCTGCTTCTACTACTGCTACTACTACTGCTGCTACTACTACTGCTACTACTACTGCTACCACTACTGCTACTACTGCTTCTACTACTACTGCTACTACTACTGCTACTACTACTGCTACTACTACTGCTACTACTACTGCTACTACTACTGCTACCACTACTGCTACTACTGCTTCTACTACTACTGCTACTACTACTGCTACTACTACTGCTACTACTACTGCTACTACTACTGCTACTACTACTGCTACTACTACTGCTACCACTACTGCTACTACTGCTTCTACTACTACTGCTACTACTACTGCTACTACTGCTGCTACTACTGCTGCTTCTACTACTACTGCTACTACTACTGCTACTACTACTGCTACTACTACTACTGCTTGCTACAACTACTACTGCTACTACTACTTCAGCTACTACTACTGCAACTAATGCTGCTACTACTGCTACTACTACTACAGCTACTATTAGTCTTACCACTGTGACTACGACTACTACTACAGATGTCTATGACGTCCCTGCATTTAAATCCAGTCATTACAACACAGAATACAGAGTTTATTACTAGCAGTAAAAGCAGTAGTGGATGGCAGTAGTAGCAGCAATAGTAGTAGCAACAGCTGTGGTAGCTAACAGTATTATTATTATTATCATTATTATTATTATTATTATTATTAGTAGTAGTAGTAGTACTAGTAGTAGTAGTAGTAGCCATAATAACGTTAGTGGTTGTTGTAGTTGTCGTTAATATTCGGAAGTAGTCCAAATATTAGTGCCGCTGAAGTCATGAAAGTGACCTCATTATGCAAATGATATGTACATTTATATTTACTAAATACATACATCTACCTCTCATAAGACAGTACACACACACGCGCGCACGCACACACACACACGCACACATACACACGTAGTACACACACACACACATATATACACGCACACATATTTACACATATATTTATAAAGTGAAACTAACTTTCCCACTGGGAAATCCCAGATCTTTTAAACTCTGCATTATTAGGCGCTCCGTCCTCCCAGACGCAAATGTTCTTGAGACACTGACGATCATCATTACCACCATCATCGTCATCATCATCATCGTAATCACTACACAACCATCATAATAATAATAATAATAATAATAATAATAATAATAATAATAACAATGGTTTACCAGCACCTTACAACTGTCATCATCATCACGTCTGTATTAATATCATCATCACCATCGTCATAATCACCATCCTCACCATTATAATCATCATCGTCATCGCCATTTTTACCATCACCACCACCACCAGCATCATCATCATCATCATAACTACCTCCTAACAGGTATCTTGCCATTGGTATTCACCATGAAGCCCAACTTCATCCAACTGTGAACGTTAGCGGTGTGTGAGGAGGGTGGTGGTGATGATGATGATGGTGATGATAATGATGATGGTGATGATGATTAGAAGGAGGTTAACGATGATGATAATGACTCAGACGGTGACGATAATGATGATGATAAAATTATAACGTAATCATTCCTGATGATGAGGATGATGATAAAGACAACGATGATATGATGTTTATGTGACGTCATAATGGCGCTAATGAAGTTGCCAAAAAACTTGACGTGAATGCAAACAATTTGTTACTTAGTCGACAAACTCATCTTCGTCGTCGTCATCATCTTCGTCGTCGTCATCACCATCATCGTCATCATCATCATCATCATCACCACTAAACTGTTTCTTGAGACAGGTCATGGGGCAGACGTTATTGGCCTTCAGATTGTGGGTGACCTTTTTCAAGCCCTCTATCCATTCCTAGTTATGATGATGATGATGGTGGTGATGATGAAGAAGACGGCGATGGTGATAACGATGATAATGACGATAGTGGTGATGATGGCGACGATAGTGACGACATTATTTTTCTAGCGCACATTTTTTTTTGAAAAGTTACATGTAGAACGTTGCTAATGGATTTTCTCGGTTCAATCTTAATTCTTTGATCAATGAAAAACTTCATTCATTCATTCACCCACACTCTCACTCTTTCGTTCATTCGTTCCTTCGTGCATTCCTTTTTTTATTCTTTCATTCATTCATCGTACCGCACATTCACTCACTCATTCGTTCGTTGGTTAGGCTGGAAAAACGTTTCGAAAGTAAATTTTTGAATTCTTGTTCAACCAGAAGGAAAAAAATTAAATAAGATTTAAAGTGAATGAAAGAGTGAAAGAACCTGTGAATGAACGAACGAATGAATGAATGAATGAATGAAAGAATGAATGAATGAATACCTATAAACACAGAAATGAATGAAATATCACAAATAAATAAAAAATTAAACACGAATAAAAAAAAACAAAGAACAAAAATGCAAAATTCTCAATTCCCGACAAATGAAATAAAAATTTTATTATCTATTTTTTTACATTCTTATCACTTATCACCATCCCGTGGTCATGAATGGGCAGCTTTATAAAATATGGATGGGTGAAAATAATGAATGAATGGATGAATGAATGAATGAACTAACAAACGAATATTTCGACAAATTAACGTAGAAATGAATGCACAAATGATCAAAGTCATGCACCCATGAATGAATGAATGAATGAACAAAGTAATAAATGAACAAAGGAATGAATGAATGTATGAATGAATGATAAATCACATGACCGACTGATTGTTAAAACAAGGAAAATTTAGGGAACAACTGTGGAAGCAATAAAAACAGCCAACAATTAATTAGAAGAACAGATGAATGAACGAGCGAAAAAATGAATGAATGAACAAATGAACGATCAAATGAATTATTCAAAAAGTGATTAAATGAATGAAAGTGAGGATAATGAGTGAGTGAAATAAATAAGTGACACGATGAAAAAATAAAAAATTAAAAAAATTAATAGCAGGTAGACTATACCGCATGTAAGAGGGAATGAACGAATGAATGAATGAATGAGTGAATTAATGAATGAATAAAAAAATGAAAATCAAAATTATAAACAAATGAACGAATGAGTTATTGGACAAGTGAAAGAACGAATGAAGAAATAAAAGTGTTTATATAAAAAAACAATTGAATGAATGAATGAATGACTGAATGAATGAATAAATGAATGAATGAATGAATGAATAGCTAAATGAATAAAAGGCTGTCTGAATGGCTAAATGAATGAATGAATGAATGAATGAACGATTGAACGAAAGACTATGAAAATGTGAGTAAAAAGTAAGCAACAGTGAAACTTCATAAACAATCCTGAGACTATGAAGTAACAACGAACGAATGAATGAATGAATAAACGAAAAAATGAATGAACAAATGAATGGAAGAATGCATGAATGAATGGAAAAATGTATGAAGGAATGAAAGAAAAAAAGAATGTATGAAGGAAAAATGATTAAAAAATAACTATATGAAAAAAAATAGTTAAGAAATGCATCATTGATTTAGTAAACAAATAAACGCATGAATGAATGAGTGAGTGAATAAAAGAAGAATGAATGAAAAAATGAATGAACGAACAAAAGGCTTAATGGAAAGAAGGAACGTTGAAAAAAGAATGACTGAAATATAAAAATATTCTCTTTAAAATAGGTATCTATATAGTTGTCTTTTTTAGCAATTCATGTTTTTGATATCTTTTATCAATTCTTTTTTGGATACATTCAATCATTCGAAAAAATGATTTTTTTCAGAATTTCTGGAATCGAGCTTGAAATCACTTATCAATGTAAAACTCTAGCTATCTATCCATTCATCCATCCATCCATCCATCCATATATTTTACCATTTATCTACTCATTCATTTATCTTCCAACCATTCATTCAATCATTCATCATTCATTCACACAAACACACACAGACACACACACACAAACACGCAGTGATTAATAAAAGTGGATTAAATTCTAAAAATTTAATATGCAAAACTTCAAAAAGGTAGGAAAAAAGTAATTCTATTATTATTATTTTATTATTTTAAATAAAATTCTTGAAAGATGAAGATGAATCAATATACTAATTAATTACGAAATGAAAAAAGCAATGAAATTCACATACAAAATTTAACTACCTATGTTTTCCTATGCAAGTATAAGCAAGCATTAGACACACACACAAACAAACACACACACACAAATATACACACACATATATACATATATATGTATAGCTTTGGCACCGACAAAACTTTTGATACCGAGAACCGGAGTACCGATCGAACTTGATATCACCGATACTTTTTAGACAGATAAAAACGACACTCGATACCAAACCAATATTTTGGAACCTCAGGAGGATATATTTTTGTTCAAAATCATTTCAACTTTCAAAGTTTAGCGCGTTTTTTTAGTGGTAACTTCAGAATTTGAAGTTTGACGGAGGAGCCAACAGACTAACCAAATTTGACTAGAGTGGCTGGAATTAGGTTAGTGGCCTTTTTCGGCTCATCACGTCAATTTTAGGCCGATTTTTACTGAAGACTGTGTTTTACTGAATCTTAATAAAAATATCGCTCCCAACTGGGGACCATATCAAAACCGTCAGAATTTCCATTTTCAAATTATACATTTTCATGTTCACGAGATTGAGTACTGGATGAATTTAGTAACGAACTACCAGCTTAATTAACTATATCAGCCCCACATTCCCAAAAAAATCGAACTATAGTGCGAGTTCAGTAATACATAATGACAGCTATTCGGTTGATCCAAGAGAATACGTAGCAAAAACGTCAAAATTTCCAATACTAAATTATTATCTCAGCCCCATATTCCCAAAACTAATCAAATTTTAGTGCAAGGCTGATAATGATGACTATCATCTAAACTAAAAATAAATATTTCTGTCTAAAAACTGAGTTGTATTGACCTTCAATAACAACACTGCTCAAAACGGGGGAGTCATGCCTTCCAGCCAGCCTTAGATCCACCCCTACCACTTGCTGAAATAATTTCATTTGCTGGCAATGAATTTGTGAAAGACTTGACTAAACCACTTGTCCCTTCAAAACACGTACAAAAAAACAAACATAAATGTATTTTTTTTAAACAATTTACTTGAAAATTTGAATCGTCTATAAATAAAATAAACATTTTGCAAGAAAACACATTCCTTCCATTCTTAATTTAACCTACGGACAATTATATGACCTATTTTGGAATCAATCACCTTTAGCAGAAGAAAACGAAATTTTAATGGAGTATAAATGAGTATTTAATGGAGTATTTTTTTATAAATCTCTCTTAAACATTTCTCAGAAATGTAACAGCAACAACAACAACAACAGCAGCAACAACAAAAACAACAACAACACGCACACGCATATATATATATAGACACGCACATACACTCACAAACCTACATACTTACATACACACATAGCTTATCCAGTATCAAAGCTTATTGTGACAGAGAATATAAATTATATACTGGCCATAATATGCAGAACTTTGTGAGGACAATGACGACGATGATGATGAAGATAATGATGACGACGATGATGATGATAATAATAATAATAAATAACAATAATAACCATATAGGCAGAAGCTATAAGCTGTTAAATCATTCAAGTGTCAAATTACAGATTTCATGCATACTTCATAATTGTCATCATCTTCATTATCACCAGTCGTCATCATCTTCACCACAGATACTTAAAAATCATCATCATCGCCAGCAACAACATCATCGTCATCGTCATCATCATCATCATCATCATCATTAAGTGATCATCGTCATCATCGCCGCTACAATCAGCTTTATCATAATAACAATAACAAAAAATAAAAATAACAATAAAATAAATAACAATAATAATAATAATAACGACGATGACAGCCAGCATCACTGACGTTAGCTATTTTAGAATTGGCAGCCACAAAGTTATTGTAGGTGATGTTAACGAGATCCAAGCCAGAGCACACTGTGATCGTACGCTGTTCCAGGGTCCCAACTCCGTGTGATTCCAATTCACTGGCAATTTTTGTATCCTGTTGTACATTTGTTTGTATGTTTGTTTGTATGTTTGTTTCTTCGTACGTTAGTTCGTTTGTCTGTTCGTTGATGTAATGTAAAGAGATCCCGACATTCATCACAACTATCATCATCATCACAATAATAATCATCGTCGTCGTCATCGTCGTCATCATCATAATCACTATCATCATCACCATCGTCATCATCATCATAACCTTCGGAGCGGGTCCGGCTCTGACGTCACTGACTTGTGAGCATTCTATCACTTGGCCCTCCTGACAAATAATGATGATGATGGTGACTATGACAACAACGATGATAATGATGATGATTTTCAACGAGAGTAAGAGAGAGAGAGAGAGAGAGAGAGAGAGAAAGAAAGAGAAAAGGAGAGAGAAGGAGAGAAAGAGAGAGTGAGAGAAAGTGAGAGTGGACTCAGATAGCGCCGACAATCAACAAGATAAACACATTATATAAATTACTTTGCAAATTTGACGACGATGATGATGGTGACGAAGACGACGACGACGAAGATGAGAAGATGATGACGACGCAAACATATCAATAACAATAATAACAATAACAATAATAAGAACAATGATAATAACAATGATAATAACAAAAACAACAATAACAACAATAATAATAATAACAGTCATGAACGTGAAACCGAAAGTCATTATACTAATAATGCGAATATTATCTATGCCGGTGAAGATGACGACGATGAAGATGACAACGATGATGAAGACGACGACGATGACCACCAGTGAGGGAGAGAAATAATGATGATGATGTTTATAAAAGAATGGCCAAACAGATTAGGTAATCTAAAAACAACAAACAATAGCACCGCCGGATAGATAATGACGTCAGAGATGACGACGACCACCATGATGGCAATAAGGATGATCAAACACCACCATCACCACCATCATCGCCGCCACCACCCCATCATTATCATCATCACCATCATAACTCACTCTTCCGTCGCTCTTCCAATGAATGAAGAAACCGAACTCATCCACTTTGACCATGCAGCCGGCTTCGTAGACCCCTATCTCCTAAAATTAGCAATTAGGAGGGCCCATTATCGTTCTCATCATCATCACCATCAACGTCATCATCATCCTCATCAACAACGTCATCGTCATAAGCAATTTACTAGTTGCGTCTTTCGTTCACTCACTCATTCACTCAATAATTAATTAATTAATTAATTCATTCATTCATTCATTCAAGAGTTTCATTCGTAATTCATTCCCTCGTTAAATCGCGTTTTACATATTTATAATGCCCTTCATTTGTTCGTTCAGTCAATCGGTCATTAATTCACTGATTTAGTTTACCCTTCATTCATTCATTCATTCATTCATTCATTCATTCATTCATTCATTCATTCATCCGTAGCAAACAAACAAAATAATATAACAAAGCAACGAATTGTCGGATTGATTGATCTACAAAGCCTATGTCAATAACGATCTCTCTAAGTTTATTATTATTATTATTAATTATTTATTATTATTTATTATTAATATTATTATTTATTATTATTTAATATTATTTAATATTATTATTACGATTGTCGTCATCATCATCATTGTTGAAAACTACGAGAGCAATAAAACTACTACTACTACTAATTCGAATAACATTAACAATACGACCACCGCTGCTACTACTACTACTACTACTGCTACTACTATTACTACTACTACTACTACTACTACTACTATTGCTACTACTACTAGGACTACTACTACTACTACTACTAATAATAATAATAATAATAATAACAACAATAATATTTGGTCCTTAACAAAACCCTGGGCTTAAAATAAGGAGAATTGAAATAAAATCAAGTAAAAATTGAAGCGTGTAAATAAATATGAACCATTTTTAAATTATATATAAACATTCATTCATTCATACTATTTAAATACATCCAATCATTGGCTCCGTCATTAATAAATAAATTATGAACATATGAATAAATTAATTCATTCCAATATTCGTTAAATATTAACGCAATAATTCATTTGCTTGTTCATTCATCCATCCACCCGTCCATTCATTCATTCATTCATTCACCCGTCCATTCATTCATTCACTCGTCCATTCATTCACACATTCACTCATTCCTCATCCATTGACACAGGTGACAGGCAACCATCGTCAATTTCAATTTAAACTATTTAAATTCTCTGCCATAGAACAGCGCCTCAGAAAAAAAGAGCCTTAAAAAAGAAACAAATGCTGACGTAAACAATACCAACAACAACACGCACGCATACATAACACACACACATACAATACATACAAACATAACGTAGATAGATACACATACATACACAAACACACAAAGATATATATGCATACATAAATATGTATACATACACACACATTCAAACATACATAGATGCATACATGCACACAAACACACACACACACGCACATACACACTCATACATACATACACACAGACACTCATCTGATATTTATTGTTCACCGCAAAACACTCAACTCTGAAAGTTTATAATAAAAATAAAAGAGGTGAGATAAACGGAAATGGATTGATTGCGGGAGAAAAAGAGAGAAAGAGAAAGGAAGAGAGAGAGAGAGAGAGAGAGAGAGAGAGAGGGAGAGAGAGAGAGAGAGGGAGAGAGAGAGAGAGAGAAACGTGGAAGGACAATGAAAGATATGGATGGTAAAAAAAAGAATAAAAAGGAAACAACTAAGGAAAAGCACAGCACCATTGCAAAGAGAGAGAAAGAGAAAAAGAGAGAGAGAGGTTTATTAGAAAATATTACCCATACATCATTAAATACACACACACACGTGCGCGCACACACGCACACAGACACACACATAAATTCCTTTTTGGGTTTCATGTCAGTATAGTATACAAGTGTTGCATTGCAGACATCAATAAAGAATGTTGTATTTATGATAACGTTTTGGTAATAGCAATCAATAATAATTATAAAAGTAAAAAATGTACACATACACACACACACACACACACACACACAAATTCTTTATACATACATACATACATACATACATACATACATACATACATACATACATACATACATACATACATACATACATACATACATACATACAACATACATACAAACATACCTTTGTCATTTTTGTCAAAGATGAATTGCACTTTTTTTATCATAAATATCACCAGTTTTCATATTATTCATTTATTTTAATAATAATATAATATTATAATTATATTATATTAATATATTATCTATTATAATATTATTATTATTATCATAAGTATTATTATTGTCATAAATATAACAATAATTATAAAATGTTTCAGTAAATATTTTGTAAAAAAAAGAACCAAAGCCACTAATTCAAGTAATTTTTACTTGATGGTAATAGTCATCCTACTTAAACAATATTCACTGATGAAAGTGATAAGAATAAGGTGTGTGCTTGCATGTGTGTGTGTGTATGTGTGTGTGAACGTGTGTATGTGGCATTATTTTAATAAATTAATTGTATTTTTGATCAATTAACTCTTGGCTAGTTAATTAGTCCAGCCATTCTTTTTTGATTTACTATTTATTTTCGCAAATAGTCATTCATCTATCAATAAACCAACCAACCCACTGACCGACCGACCGACCGACCAACCGATCAATCAACCAAGCATCAATTAATGATCAAGAACATCCTTACGTACCTGCCTACACTACACAACTAATAGCTACATTTCAAAATTAACACTAATTAGTATAAATAATTCTATTTAAATCAACATGAACACAGACACTAACAAAAATTAACACTACAAATCTCAACACACAACGCCACACCAATCAACAAACCTCTTCCCATCTGTCGAAATACTCCCCGAGTAGCAAAACATCTGGAATTGGAATTTGCCATTGGAAATCCACAATTTTTGCCATCTATTATTTTGCCCCCACTTCCCTCCAAGCCCTCTGGTGTACGTGTATGTGTGGCCTATGTATGTGGTTGTGTATGTGATGTGTGGCCAACTGACAGATAGATTACTGATCAGTAGACATAGACAGATAGATATGTGTATCTATTCTATATTCTTCATTTATTTGTACTACTAAGCTTTTGAAGAATGTCTTAACTTATTAATCCAAAATAAATCAATAATATCATATCAGAAACTGAGTTTGAATATATTTGAGAGAATGGGGATTCATTTTTTAAATTAAGGTCTTCTAGAGATCAATGTTTTTTCTCTGCTAATTATTTCAATTATTAATTATAATTATATTAATAATTATGAATAAAACTTAATTTGATATATTTAATTCCTAATTGTAAATTTAATAATTTTTAAAATTTAAATTAAAAAATTCAAACTGATGATCAGATTGTAATTGTATTTATTGTATCATTTTTCAAGCGCCATCTGTCGTCAGAAAATAACAAAAACAAGAGAAACGCAAATTATTGCAAAAATTTTTTGATCGCTTATTTATTTTTTTTGGCCGGCCGCCGGACTGAGAAGGAAAATAAAAAAATTAGGCGATCAGTGAAACATATTATTGCCGTGCATTCATAATGTTGATGTGGTCAGCCAATCAGTGATCCGACTGGTTGTCACGTGACAATATTAAAAATTAATTTTTAAAATAAATTATGCAAAAATGTAATTTAGCTTTTAATTTTATATCTGGTAAAAAAATGCTATAAAATGTTAAAATTTTGTCAAAAATTATCAAGAAAATTAATAATTATCACTGTAAAATTGTTTAAATGCCTTTTATAAGCAATAAGTTTTTAATAAAATACATTTTTTTTAAATTTTATGCATTTTATTAAATAAAAAATTTAGAAATTATTATACCAGAAATAAGTATTAAATATTTAATTAATTTCTAAAAAATATTTAAATCAATAAAATGCACCCATATGAAATCGTCCATGTGGTTTTTTTTTATCTAATTGGTATTATATAAATATAAAAATGTAGAGTGGTTTTATACAAATGTACATGCGACCATTATATGTACGTATACATGAATATATGTGCTATATACAGCCTCTGTATATTCAGCATACATACATGCATACAAAATATATACACAATTTCAATTTGTATATACTATACAAACTAAATACAATGAATTCAAAATGTTTACATCATCCGTATATACAATACACTCAATCAATCAATCGATTAGCTTATAAAGCGCTATTTCCGCGATGTTCAACAGCGCTACTCAATGAATTTTGGAAACAGATGGGTCTTGAGATCCGCTCTGAACTTCGCAAGTGATGGAGAAGTAGTCAGAATATATACACAATTTCAATTTGTATATACTATACAAACTAAATAAAATGAATTCAAAATGTTTACATCATCCGTATATACAATACACTCAATCAATCAATCGATTAGCTTATAAAGCGCTATTTCCGCGATGTTCAACAGCGCTACTCAATGAATTTTGAAAACAGATGGGTCTTGAGATCCGCTCTGAACTTCGCAAGTGATGGAGAAGTAGTCAGAGAAGTAGGTAGAGAGTTCCAGAGAAAAGGACCAGAAAAAGCAAAAGCAGATTTGGCAAAAGAGTGTTTAACACGAGTTAAGAAAAAGCGAGAAGAAGACGATCGTAAACCGGAGCGTTTAGGTTCAATTAATATATCTGATAAATACTTAGGAAATAGTTTAGATTGAGAGTTATAACATGAACGTGCAAATTTAAAAAATTATTCTATATTTTATAGGTAGCCAGTGCAAGAGAACAAGATATGGAGATATATGAGAAAAGAAAGGGGCACGAGCAACTAGACGAGCAGCAGAGTTAAAAGCTTTACTTAAAGGATAGAGTATAGAGACAAAAGACATGCGTGTGTTCTAACAATATAAACATTATAAACACGTAGACCGCAATGTCATAACTGATATCAATGCATACACATACATAAAACACAAAGTTGTACACAAAATTTGCATACCGAATGCACACACAAACAAAACGTACTCAAAACGTGCACAGTTGTATGAGATCACATGGCGATCACGTGTAAATAATAAACCTTTACATAAGCCTGGCTCTGCTAGTTCAACAATCTACATTGTGCTAATTTCAATTTAAAATATACTTGAACTATGCTATGTCGGGTGATATGATGTGGTTTTTAGATCAGCTGTGTGCTTAGTTAGTTAGTTTCGATAATTTTTTTCCAGTGTAAGGGTCCGCCTGTGAATTTTTTACGTAATTTAATGACGGAATTTGTGGGGAGGTCATTTTATTTTATCGAATTTAAGAAAAGGATTATAAAGTTTTTGAAATTCAAAAGATGTATTCGATGAGGATGGTTCTTTGTTCCGTCGGCTCGTTCAGTAATCTTGCCGGAGTCTTCCTCGTCAGTTTTATTTTTGCCTTCTTTATTTTATCGTTTCATTCAATATATTTTTGTTTATTTTGTGATTTATTTAATTATATTGGTAAATATCGATTTTTTTTTATTAACCAAATTTTAAAGCTAATTTTCAATTGAAATATAAATTATAAAACGACGTAAAAATAAGTTTGCTAAACTAAACCTAGCGTCAAAATTTTCCAGCTTTGATTATTTGTTTATTAAGTTAACCAAAAATTATTTCCAATCAAAAGTTGCCAGCAAGAAGATTGGTACACACTAGATTCTCCAAGAAACTGTCCAGTAACCTGACTCTGGTCAAATCGTCATTGCAACAACACGACAACAGCCAAGTTAACAAACCTGTTGTCATTCTCTACAGCTGGTTGCTGGCTAAAAATAGGCACATTAACAAGTGTTCAGACATTTATTTAGGTTGATAATAATATCAATTCATTTTACTTCTGTAACATTTTTATGTACACAACAAAGTAATAGTATTATAATTGTTCAGTGACGGTTGATAATGTAAATTTCAGATAGAGGATTTGATGTATTGCAAGTCAAAGTTTCTCCAAGGCAAGTCCTGTGGCCAGCGGCAGTCATACCAACAGTTGATTCCGTCATTGACTTCATCTCAAACTTGAAATCATCAATCCTTGTTCATGGCTTCTCCGTCGGTGGCTTTGTGCACACTGAGGTGATGTACAAAATGTCAAATTCAGATAACGACATGCACATGCAAGCAATTAAAAAGATGAAGGGTCAGATTTTTGACAGTGTTGTTGATTTTATTGGCATCGGGGAAGGTATTAGTACAGCCATGTTTCGCAGGAGTCCCATTTTGAGAATTCTTTCTAGGTCTTTAATAAATAATTATTTGAGTCTCACTGAGAAATCTGTCGGTTGCATATATAGGAGAGATTCAGAATTTTTTCATTTAAATCCTTTAAATATTCCTTCCCTCATGTTGCACTCTACCAAGGATCAAATTGGTAGTGTTGGGCCTATCGAGAGAGCCATTAAGAAATGGAGGAATAAAGGAATTCTAGTTGATTCCAAGTAATTTATTTTTATTCATTTTGGTTCTAATTTTTAAATTATAATTAAAAATGAGTATGTGATATGTGTATTTTGTATTTTTTAGGCCAATAGATCATTCAAATGGCAAAGAGATGTGTAATTTTTACACTAAAAATTGTTTTTCAGATGCTGGACCGATTCCACACACGTTAACCATTTCAAGACACACCCTGATGAGTACATAAAAATGATAGATAATTTTTTGGCAGTTTTGGAATTGAGCAATGCGGGAGTGAATGTAAATGATGAAGAAGCTATTGATAACGTTGCTAAATCGTCATTCATGACGTCACCGACTAAATCATTCTCTCATCTGCATTCACGGAAAGCAACGTCAGAACAATCAGAAAACGAATCAACTCTGCCTGAATCTATTGGTAAAAGAAGGTCCAATTCTTCAATGGAAGAAAAAACGAAAATTTCTGTTAAAAATATTTAAGACTAGGAACTTTTTCATGCTTTTTTATAAATATTCATAGAGTTAAGAAATTTAAATAAACTTAGATCGGTATTTAGTTAAGAGATTCCGAGAGAATTGTTGGTGAGGATGAACTTGCTATATTAATTTTTTACGCTACATCAATTAAACTTTGCACGCATTTATTTATGCCTGATTCGTTTTGATGAAATGGACTTGAGAGGTACTTTTGAATGCATGTATGAAATGGAGCTTTCAATTAAGCATCGCTATAGACGACTTTGTGTCTGTATATTTTGATATAATTTTCCATCGAATATTCTATAACGTGTCCATATACGCGTACGTTTTACAGTGTACATAGTAAAAATAATGTATACGTGCAAAGTTTGTTAAAAACTCAAATTTAACTGTGATTGTAAAATAATTTAGTAAAAATTTCATTATAATATCTGAGATTGTAAAATAATTTAGTCGAAATTTTACAACAGCTGTGATCGTAAAATAATTTATTAGAAATGCATTTCTAGTCTTTGGTTACCCCTGCCATTTAGTTTAAAAGAAGTGAGTTATTGAGATTTTAACATTAGATCGCCGAGTTTTCTTAGCGAAGGTATCGCCTGCTAAAAATTTGATTTAACGGATTAAAAATTATTTTTTATTAGTTTTGCTCTTAATTCGTGCATGATTTGGTTAACTAATTCGCTGGAGTAATTTGTTTACTTTCATTGTGTTGAGTTTCTGCCGATTTTAATTAGTTCCTGACGAATTTCAGTGGGGATATAAAAACTGATTTGATTCACAGTGAGATATTTACCGTAAAAGGCTATTAGATGCACCCCTCAAGTTCTTTGAAACGTTAGTAGATGATGACTTTTTTTATATTTTCATTTTTTTCTTTTGTAATGTTTTTGAATTATCTTCTAGTGGAATTGTGTATTAACTGATGTTAATACTAATAGTTATTTAAATTTTTTTAAAAACAATTTTTCAATATATAGTAATTAGTAGGATAAATATTTCATGATTTATCCTTTCTAAAACCATATTTTTCTGATTTCAATGGCCTGCTTACATAAGTTTCTTCTAAATGATAATTTATTTTATTTTATCTTCTAAATGTTGTAAATTTTTATGTATATTTATTTTTAACATTACTTTTATTTAATTATTATTAATTAATATTTTCCTAAAATAAAATCCAACAGTTCTGACCCAAGCACAAAAAACATGGGAAAGGAACAACTCGGGTGGCTCTTACCAGGACCACTACCAGCCACAACACTTCCATCAACACAATAACAGCATGCTTGCGACTTCTTCTCAAAACCAGCAGGGTTATCATCATAACAACAGCCATCATCATCATCATTCTGCGTCCTCTACAAGTAGCAGCAGCAATGCCTCAAGGTCACATAACTCTACACCCAAGCAGTTTCGCCACAAAGTTTCTGTCAACCACAGTTGGACGGAGCTGGAAATAACCGGTACATATCATCATTATTGCACGGGGCTGTATGATGATGATACATTTGGTGAAACTGAATTTTGGTATGAGGAGGGGGGAGATATTATTGGAGATGCACATGGTAGGTTTCATGCTGACCGATGATCACCTGATGACCACCACAGCAAATATTTTACTCATTTTCATTGTTAATTCATTTTATTAAATAACGCTATATTAAATTTTAACTAAGTATTATTACTTAATAATTATATTGTTTTATATTATTATTAATATTAATAATATTACTTAATACAGGTAACATATCCAATCTGAGCCCTGCTGTATTCAAGTTCACCCATCTAACGAAGCTTAACCTTCGTAACAACAACTTAACCTCTCTGCCTCCCGAAATTGCTCGTCTGGTCAATCTAAACGTACTCGATGCTACAGGTTTAAATTTTTTAATTGATTGATTGGTTGGTTGGTCAGTTGATTGGTTGTTTGGTTTATCAGTTTATGTTCAACCCTACTACCACTTTGCTAATTTACCCAATGGAAATAATTTCGTTCAAATACTTTTTACTCAACTTATTTAATTAATCAATTAATTCATTAATTGTGAAATTAGGAAACCGACTGCAAAGCATTCCACCAGAAGTTGGTGACATGGTGATGTTGAAGGAACTCTACTTAGGTAACAACCTGCTGAAATCTATTCCATACGAGCTGGGCAAGCTATTTCAACTACAGAGATTATGTTAGTTTTTGTTTGCTTGTTCGTTTATTTTTTTTTTCCCACATAATACAACAGCATAGAAAACAATAGAAAAACATGAAAAAATCATTAAATTAATGATTATTGATGATATATCACTACTAAAAATGCAACAAATTTATAGGTTTTAAAGGCAATCCGCTACCAAGCAAGTACCTAAATTTTAACACTGATGCTTCAGGGACCCAGAAATTAGTCTCCTTCCTATTTGATCATTTACCAGGTTAGTTTAATGATGTCATGTTGGTGTAATGTGATGCGTTGATGTGGCTAATGATAATAACAATAATAATAACAACGACAGTAATAATAATAACAATAATTTTGATTGACAGCTTATTTTTCAAGCCCGCCAGAAAGAGCATGGATGCGTTTGTCGAACTGTGAAACGCCAAAGCCTGCAGGTTTGTGATTATTCCTTGTTTGATTGGTTGGCTGGTTGGTTGGTTGGCTGGTTAATTGATTGATTGGTTCGTTGGTTGGCTGGCCAATGAATGAGTGAGTGAGTGAATGAATCATTTATTTAATTATTTATTTCATAATTGGATTCTAATTTACTAACTGAAAAGACTCACTGGATTTTTCCTAATTCCCTAATTAACATGACTATTCAAAAAATCATAAATAACAGTGATAACAGTGATGTGCTATAACGTGCTTTGCGACAAAAACTGCAACAGAACGCTGTACGCGTACTGTCCACAGTGGGCACTGAACTGGGATTACAGGAAGAAGATTGTAATGAGAGAGATTAAGAGTTGTCAATCGGATATTATTTGCTTGCAGGTTTGTTTCGTTGTTTGCTTTGTTGCTTCCTCTTGTGCACACCCACACATACAAATCCTCATACGCACGCACACCGTTTAAGCACACACACACACAACACATACTTGCATACAAATATACACAACACACACACTCACGCTTTCACAATAACTTGAATACTTTTTTTTCACCAACACAGGAAGTGGAGACGGAACACTACCACCAATTCTTCCAGCCTGAGTTGGAAAATGACGGATACCTGAGCGTGTTTGCCCCAAAAAGTCGAGCAAGAACGATGACGGAGGCAGAGAAGAGGCATGTCGATGGTTGCGCCATCTTTTATAAAAAAAATAAGTAAGTTGATTATTTGCTGATTTGCTTGGTGTTTGTTTCATTGTTAAGTTGGACTTAATTTAAAATCATTTTGTATGAGTTAAGGTATGTAACAGTAGCTATTTCCTCAATTATCCTAATTTAACTATTGAACCAAATTGACCTAATTAACTGATCTGACCTGATTAATCCGCCTATTCAGATTCCGTGCCCTGAAAGACTACTTAGTAGAGTTCAACCAGGTAGCCATCGAGGCAGCCGAGGGCTCACACGACATGATCAACCGCGTCATGACCAAAGACAACATCGGGCTGGCCGTACTTCTAGAAACCACCAAAGAAACTTGGCCTAATGGTTCGTATTTTTAATTTTTATTCATCCCCATCGAGGCAATTTCAATTGTATTTATTTGAAAATGAGACTTAAGACTATATAAGTAGTAATGAATCAACATAAAGACTAATGGATGATTCTCTAATTTTAGGTCCTCCAGCCGACAACCAGATCAACCAGCCCTTACTGGTGGCCACGTGTCACGTGCACTGGGACCCAGAGTATTGCGACGTCAAACTCATCCAGACTATGATGCTTGTGCAGAAGTTGCAGAACATCGTGAAATTGGCAGCTTCAGAGTTGAGGCCCGACCTGGCCGACAGTCCCCTGCTCGACTGCAACTCCATCCCTCTCATACTCTGCGGAGACTTGAACTCTCTGCCCGATTCAGGTTAGTTTGCTAAGTTAGAGGATGTATTGTTTACCTTTTTTGTGAAGTTCAGTGTAGCTTCTGTTGATTGAAATGCTTGGTTGTGATCAGATGAAACAAAATTATTTGAATGTTGTTAAATGCTGTTTGCAGGTGGAGTGGAGTTTTTGAAATGGGGCCGAGTTGACTCAAACCACAAGGATTTCAAAAAGATGGGATACAAGGAGTGCCTGCAGAAGTTAGGCTACCAGGAGGCCAAGGACAACATCTTCTCGCACAACTTCAAGCTCTCACAGGCCTACATCAACGACATCATGCCTTATACCAATTACACGTTAGTGGAGTTGCTTTCTTTTCCTGCTTATGATATATTCATTCTCAGCTGTTTGTTTTGCTGCCACGATTGGCGTCGAAGATTATTCATTTGTTCCTCAATCACCAATCAATCAACTGAACATTCAACCAACCAACCAATCAAAACGAAACATTCATTCAACCAATGAATTAACAACTCGACAGGTTTGAGTTCAAAGGAGTAATCGATTACATCTTCTTCAGTCGAGATTGCATGCGATGCCTGGGCGTGCTGGGCCCCCCTGACCAGAAGTGGTTTCTCGAAAACAAAGTTCACGGATGCCCCCACCCACAAGTACCCTCCGACCATCTGCCGATCTTCGCCCAACTCGAGCTCTTAAGATCCTCACTTATTCCTTATTCCTATCCCACCAGTAACATGTCGTCTCTTGCTAACTCGTCGTCTTCCAATGTCGGCTTCCAGCAGCAGCAGCAACAACAACAACAGCAGCAGCAACAACAACAACAGCAGCAGCAGCAACAACAACAACAAATTATTAAAAATTCGTAATTCATTGCGCGCGCGTTTGTGTGTGTGTGTAAGAGCGTGTGCGTGTGTGTGTGTGTTTATGTTGATGATCTCCTACCGTTGTATCTGTATACTAATTATTTTATTGAATATTTTTCTCATTAATGTGCACTCTTGTGATGTGAGAGAGATATTGTATTTGCCATTTATTTGCCATCATCGTTCTGTGTAGTTTGGTAGTAGTTGGGGTATGGGTAAGTAATGTAACGAAGTAAGGTGTCTCTCTCTTTTCCTCTCTCTCCTTCTCTCCCTCTCTCACTCCCTCTCTGTCTCACTACATGTATTTGCCATTCACTGTTCAAACGGTTAGGAGTTAGTCGGCTGGTTGATTGGTTAAGAGATGTAAATAGAGTTTGATTGACTGATTGATTGATTGAGTGTTTGATTGATTGATGTTTTTTCTTTCATTCTTGACTGATTTGTTTACTGTATTTCCGATTTATCGATTATAATAAAGTCATAATGTTCACTAATCGTTTGTTCGTCTTGTTGAGTAAAGTGGCTCTAAAGTAATATTTCTTTAGTAAATGCCATATATATATATATATATGTGTGTGTGTGTGTATGTGTGTGTGTGTTCCTCTACGTGTGTCTGTTTGTGTCCCTAGGTGTGCGTGCGTGTGTGTATAAAGTTACATGTACGTATGTGTATGATGCATTGCAAATGTGATAAACGTTATTGTTGTTGCTGCTGTCGTTTCGTTTGTGTTGTTGATATTCTTCGTTTCTTATATATGTATGTATGTGTATTATATATATATATATATATATATATATATATATTATATATATATATATATATATAAGTTTATATGAATGAATTGTCTTATTATTTGCAGTTTTATTTTATTATATTTTAAAATAGTTCAATAAGAGTAACGTAGAAGTCCGCATGTATGTGTGATATGTGTGTCGTAAGTACACAAGTACCTAACGGTCGTAAGTACACGTGTACTGAAGTTATTATTTTTATTATTATTATTAATCATTCAATATTTTAATAGTCGTATATAATTACAATATATTTTATATGACAGAATATCATCACTATGCAGTAACTATTATATATATCTAAACATTGTAATATATATATGCATATATAAACATTGTAATATATATATATATATATATATATATATATATATATATAAATAAACTGAAACACATGAACAAGTGTATGGATAGAATCAATCAATCAATCTTCGTTTAGCCTCCAGAGATCCAGTTCCTCCGAGGTAGGACGTTGTTTTCTTTGCCGTCAATTTTTTTTGCGCCAAATTAGACGATCAGTTGTATCCATTTCATTTAAATTTAGAGCTTTCATGTCTTGCTCGATTGTTTGCGACCAGGACTTCTTTGGACGGGCCTTTGGGACGTGTGCCAGGTACTTCAACATCTGCAAGAGAAGTTATGGCAGTTACTGAGAGTTAAGAGAGTTACTGTTTCCACTTCGTTTGACATGACCAAACCACCGCAGACGGTGTTGCCGGCATTCTTCCTTTATATCATCTAAACCAGCACGACGCAGGATCTCGGTAGATTTTGATGTGGCCCTTCAGGTACCGTTAGGCATCAGTGTAGACAGAAATCATAAACCATAAATTATCATTAAATGATGATGGCCGGTTGTTCATTTTGTGTCTCCGTGTGTGTTTGTGTGCGTGCGCGTATGTGTATGTGCGTGTATTATGACGGTAGTTATAATAGTGATAATAATTAATGATAGTAGTAATATATTATTATTATAGGGAGCTCCCATATTTTATCGTTTTAGTGATGTATCAATTTTTTGGTTTGTTTTATCTATACTTTCGTTCATTCATTTCGTTCGTCCGCTTATGAGAACATTGATTCATTCGTTCGTTTATTGATTATTTCATTCAATCATTCTTTTATCTGTTCATTCATTCATTCATTCATTCATTATTTCGTTCGTTCGTTCAATCCTTCATTTATTTATTATTTGCTGTAAATATTTTTTCGCATAATTTTATTAATCCATCTATTTTTCTGATCAACAGTTTTTTTTATGTAGATGGCTTAATGTGTTCCCATATTTACTTCGTTCGTTCGTTCATTCATTCGTTCATTTATTCGTTAGTTCATTCATTCATTCATTCATTCATTCATTCATTCATTCATTCATTCATTTATTCATTCGTTCATTCATTCATCCATTCATTCATTTTTAACAACAATAACGGTGGTAGTAGTAAATACACATTAATAATGTTAACAACATTAAGATCACTAAAAGTAACGTAGAAGCCCGCGTAAGTATATATGTATATGTATATATATATATATATATATATATATATATATATATATATATATATATATATATCCGAACAGTCAGCTTTTATATTATGTTGTATTGTATTGTATTTAATTTGTTCATTGATTTAGTTTGCTTATTTGGTCTTTAGAAATTTCCTGTGTGTAAGTATGTGTGCGTACACACACATTCACTGTGTGTATGTGTACGTATGTATACATGTATGTATGTGTATGTAGTATATAGGTTGGTCGTTTGTTTGTATGTAAATTTATATGTATATATATATATATATATATATATATGTATATAACAAAGAATGTATATATATATATATATATATATATATATAGAAATATATATATGTTTTGGTGTATACAATGTATATATTACGATTCCTTTCGGTTTGAACAATTATTTTTGAATATTAAATTTTTAACACTCATCGAAATAATTATTATTGTTATCATTTATATTATTACTCATCTTCATCATCATTTTGATTATTATTAATAATTATATTATTGTCTATGTATCTATCTTTATTTATATATATATATATATATATATATATATATATATATACGTGTGTGTAATTTTAGGCAGCAAATATATATATATATATATATATATATATATATATATATATAATTGATAAGATCATTATTTTTTGTCTTATTTTTTTAATTTTACTTTTATTATTGTTAAATTTTTTTTTTATAATAAATAAACCAAAATGTACGTATATCTACTTACTCACACACACACACACACACACACACACACACACACACACACACACACACACACACACACACACACACACACACACACACACACACACACACACACACACAATGACGTTGATATCGGTAGTATAGGTTGAAGCGTGATTTTTTTTCATTACTTATAGGGATGTATGTATGTATGTATATGTCAACTATTTTTGAAATTAATTCATTTAAAAACCTTCCAGTTTTCCTGTTGGTTGTATGTGTGTGTGTATATGTTTGTTTGTATGTGTGTGTATTTGTGTACGCGTGTATGTTTGTTTGTTTGTTTGTATGTATGTATGTATGTATGCATGTATGTATGTATGTATGTATGTATGTATGTATGTATGTATGTATGTATGTATGTATGTATGTATGTACGAGCCCATGGTTAAAAACAACAGTTATAAAAACCATCATTTTGCCCCAACTCGCTTGTTAATGTATATATGTATGTATTCATGTATGTGTGTGTGTTTGTATGTGTTTGTATTCGTTTGTATGTATGTATGTTTGTACGTGGTTAAAAATTGTATACAGTTTATGGCATTATGACGTTTATTTAGAGACGAAATATTTTAGCGTATATTGAATTATATTCATTTATTTATTTATTTATTTATTTATAGTATTCTAATGTATTTATTTATTCATCCATTTTTATACATTCACTCGTTCATTTTTTCATCCATCCATTCGAGACATCCATCCAATCAACTGGGATTTATTATCATTAATATAATTATTACTCTTTGATATATATATATATATATATATATATATATATATAGTTTCCTGTATATCGTTTATTTCGATCAATATTGCTCCCCTAACCATAGATATGTGTATCTTTTTTCAAAATTGACTTTTATTTCATTTAAATGAATTTTTATCATTGAAATTTTATTTATTAACGAAAAGATATATATATATATATACATATATATATATATACATAGCTTTATATATATATATATATATATGTATGAACATTATTATTATTATTGCTATTATAAGAATTTAAATAAAATTTATTGCATCCGATTTTTGTTCACTTGCTGGAAGAAACAAAAATGTGTGTTTTGAAAATTATTAATTGATTATGTAAATAAATAGATGAATGAATGAATTAGTGAATGAATGAATGAATGATTGAATGAATGAATGATTGAATGGATTAATTTATTAATATTAAATATATGAGTATAATAATCTCATATATAATCGGAAAATGGATTGTATGCACGTTGAAGGATGCATGTCGTCGTCATCACCTACGATGGTTTTGCCATGTGAAATGAAGCGAAAACGATATAGTAATTTCCGTTACTGAGCACCAAGTGCCTGGCACCCGCCCAGGAGTTCGCCCCTGGACGTAGACCATAAAGGAGGACTTGAAGGCACTTGACTCAAGGAGACAGACGCAGTGGATAGATCGGCTTGGAGACTGAAGCTGATGAATTGGATAAAAAAGTGCGACTCATAATGGATGAATCCTCTAAGCGAGGATTGATAATCGGAAAATTGAATAAAACGTTTTAAATAAAAAGAAAAAAGAAATCATCTTTTTAACCAAAAACCATAAAGGGAAAACTCAGAATTCCCTTATATTGCAATTATTTATTTACGATATTAATCCGAAAAAATCAGTTGATCCAAGCGTCAAAAAGCGCCGATAAATTTGTTTTGTTTTTGTTGTTTGTTTTCTATGAAATTATTCACAACGGCTTTTTATTCATATTATCGGTGTGCCAAAATGCTGTTCTAATTCGCTGGTATGTCAAGTTTGCCGATTCTTGTCATTCTCTGCTTGCTCTTTGAGTCCGGTTAGCTAAAATTGTCATTTTTGGTAAAGTATGTGTTGTAAAGTATGTGTTGTAAAGTATGTGTTGTTAAATTAAAAAAAAACTAATATGCATTTTTATGGTAATTTATCAGATTATTCAAGATTCATGATTTAATGTTTCTAGTTTCGATAACAAAATTAACTCTGGTTCATTTATTTAATCGAAAAGTTCAAATTTAGTTTATTTTATAATTGTATAAGGTTTCGGCTTTATGACGTCATGCCTAGTATATTATAAATCGATGATTTAATAATATATAATTAGTAATTGCAATTAATAATAATTAGTAATTAAAATTAATTATGATTAATTTCTGAAAGCCCTTAACAAGCCGTCAAGAGATGTGGCTTCAGGTAAACTGGTAACGAATGTAGGAAGTGGCGAGACGTTGGTTCAATTAACCGATCCAGATAATTCAAATGGCAGCTACGCCTACAATTTTGGCGAAGAACTCCTCGTCCACCTTCTCAATAAATTTTACATCACTTCATTCGTTTTACTATCGCCTGGCTCTTTTCCAAGTGATAACATATTTTAGGCAGAGTGATGGTATAATGGTTAGGACGCCTGTTTCTTCTGTCGTCGTGACCGAGTTTGAATGCAAGAGAGATTGCCTGACACGTGCAATGTGTGAGATGCCTTGATACGCATGCATTACTAAGAAGACAATTTAAATAATAAAATATATCTAACTTAACTTAGATTTAATGTAATTACGTTTTTCGAGTTTTTTATTCCAAATTAATGGGTCCCAAGTTTTTTCATCGTACGTTGGATAGACAGACAGACAGACAGACAGACAGACAGACAGGTATAATGATGGAATTTGCGAACTAAATCTAAAGTAGCAAATGATTGATTATTGCTTGCAGGTGGTGTGGTGGCAACTCTGAAAAGTGATCTGCCGGGCTATAGTGACTGCAGAACCGACAGCTCTGCCGTAAGGAGTGGCAATACCCTGCTAGCTGACTGTAGGAACTTTTTAGCCAGAAACGTCACAGTCTTTCTCAACAGGAATGTCATTTTATCGAAGATAAATATTTATGGATATAGTTAAGTAATTGTGAATTAATTTTTTAATGTTATGAAATCTTGCTTTGTGTGGGTGTTTTTAAATATAGTAATGGGTTTACATGTCTCACTAACGCGATGTGAGGCGAACCGATTGAATGCAACCTAAAAAATTAACTCGTTTTTGCTCTTGGTTATTCAATCCTGCCATTGGCGGATTTTTTTACGACTCATTTTGTTATTATTAAGCTTTCAGGCCATAAGGACTCTACCGTACACGTACAATTCAGACCGGACATTCAGCGCTAATATGCATACTTGTATGCACGCAAAAACACCGCATCATACGCTCATGACGTTTAATAGATAGTTTTTAAATGGAGAGGCAGTAGTCGAACCAGGCCATTGCGCAACAACAGCGCAAAACATGGCGCTTCTACCGACTAAGCTAACATCGACGAGATTGTAACTAAAAATGAACACTCTCGAATACAGGCATGACTGAACACACGCACGCACACACATTCAAAATTCAACTTGTTTGAGCAAACGTGCTGATAAAATCAATGGAACAATTTACTCACAAGTTATGGAGGTGACGATGTTTCTCGGCTGCTTTCTGAATGTAGTGGTGGTGGCCGGCAGTAGGACGACGGTCGGCAGTGTCAACGAGTGCAGGACTGCTTGTTCGTTTTCTGATAAAGTGGCTCTCAAAGTCTCTTACCTAATTACTACTGGTTTAGACAGACAGACAGACAGACAAGACAGACAGACAAGACAGACAGACAGATAGACAGACGAACAAATAGATAGATTGATTTTATTCAGGGCAGCGAATGTTTTTGTATTGAGTCACATCACGATATGGTTGCGGCCTACCACTGCACCACAAACACTTGCTTCGGCGGCTCGCACCCGGGACCTTGCGGCGGATTAACTTCTTACGCCATCTATTTCTGTAAAATTTAAATTTTATTACTCAACTCATTCAAACTTCATTGCATAATCTATTTTTAATTTTTCAAAATTGCTTTTATACAATATAATGGTTATTTAGTTTAGTAATAAAACATATATATATATATATATATATATATATATATATATATATATATATATATATATATACAGTTTTCAAGAAAATCAACCGCGTTAATACAATTATTATGTTTATACATTAATTAATTAATTAATTTTTTTAACATAACAAATAATTGCGAAAATTACCGTTTATAAACAAACGACGTCATACAGTATAAATTTAATTTAATTTATAAACGGTAATTTTTGTTATTATTTAAAAATATTTTGCACTGACGATGATACATTTTATATCGAAAATGCTTTTTGCAATTATTTATATTAATAAACATGAACAATAATAATTTTAGTTTTTTACTTGATAAACTAAATAATTATAATAAAATTTTAATTAGAAAACTTGAAAAATTAATCTATAAACATAACGCGGTTGATTTTCTTGAAAACTGTATCGAATATGGTCTAAATCCTAATATGTATATATATATATATATATATATATATATATATATATATATATATATATCTTATATGATGCGTACAGTATAATACATTTAAAAATTACACAATCCCCACAAAATAACGCTCGGAAATGAACTGAAACAAGCCAACGAGTTTGTAACTGAAACCGAGCATGGCTGCCATGATCCACCGCCGGCATCGTTCTTAAAACGCATAACTGGAACTAGCTGTATGTCGTTTTGTAGTGAGAACGGTTATTACTTCAGACATGTAGACAGAGTTAGTATCTAATTTCCGTGGTTAACCCGGGAATCGATCCTGACCGAAGTGTATGTGGCCTATTTTACAACTTACAACAGCCGCTACCAAATTGTTTTTGACCATTTGCGGATCTAGAATTTGGCGGATGGAAGGGGGGAAGGTGTAGGTTTAATTTACAAAACACTAAATTATGACGTAAAATATTTCACGCGGAATTATTCCCTTTCTTCATGGTCTAGAGGAGGGTTAGGCATTCCCGCATACACCCTGTATCTAGTCAGTTGGTTAAAACACGACCTTTATTTAAAGGATACAAAAATTTTTGGCTAGGGCATTTAACATTCAAGACGGATTCCCGGTTTTGTCACTTCTGTTTGCACTTGGCGTTATTGTTTTCAAGCCTCTCTAGATTGACGTAGAGGGCACTTTATTGTAATTATTGTTATGACAAATGGAAGCTTCAATCTTCTAACCTTGATATGTTTTGGTTTTATTTTTGATGGATTATCCTAATCGAAAACATAATGCCATTTGTCTTTCTTAAGGATAATTGCCAGCATATTATTTCATTTAATGACTCTTTTTACATCGTTAAAATTAAAATTTAATTAATTTTCCCACTTAAAACTTTGGTAGGGGGCCTGCTTCTGCGGAAGTTATCTTCCTCCCGACGTCCGTCTACTTGCATGCAAAGCCACGGATAGTGAAACAATCAGAAGTCATTATCATTTTCATTATTATTATTATTATTATATTATTACCGTTATTATTATAATAATTATTAATGTTGCTTAATGACAATAATGATGAAAAGATAATAATAAATTTGAGCAGTTCATCACGTGCCACCACCTTCTTGTTCAAGTAGTTTACCAAATAGTTTGTGCCAGGGATGTTCGCGGGATTATATACCTCCGGAATGCTTATTAAAAAGTTTGTAAATGTGTGTGTGTGTGTTTGTGTGTGTATACCTCCGTGTGTTTGTGCGTGTGTACGTAAGCGTGTGCATGCGTGTGTGTGTGTGTTATGTCTGTGTGTATGCGTGTGTGTGTGTGTTAGTGTGTCAGTATATATGTGTGTGTTATGTCTGTGTATGTATGTGTGTTACCTCTATGGTGTATGTATGTGTGTGTGTGTGTGTTTGTGTGCAGATATGTGTGTAAGCATGCATGTTGTGTATTTTTAAAGCATCACCAATGATGAAACCATAAACCGTTATGCATTAAATTAATTATCAATAGTTAATATAAAGTGCTTATAAAACTCATTGATTTTAAAAAATAACACCAACAAATTTATAGCACCATTAACATCGTTTTATCTCTTTTAATTAAAATATCTTTTAATTTTAAAATATCCACTTAAAATAAAAAAAATTGAAGTAATTTTTTTTATCTTAAAAATTTGACTAACTTTTTTCTGTCTGCAGGATGTGTCACAATGGTTAATAGGCACTGTCACTATGACAATCTCGGTGCCCTCGGTCCAGTTACTAGTCAACCTTGCCAAAAATCTCAAATTTTGGAATTGGGTGTTTGTAACCCAGTAAACGAGTCTCAGAACTATGAAATAGTCAATATAGCCTATCGGAAAGTCGTTTTAAATTTGCAGTTAGTTATGGGGTAAGATTTTTATTGATCTGTATCATTAGTTTTGCAGTGGCTAGCTTAAAAATATTCAGCCGGGGAGTATATGATTTCTTAGAAAAATTTGGCGGCATTTTTTGTCTATTCCGCCGATTCTTTTATCAACATTTTCGACAAAACATTTCTAAATTAATACTTATGTAAAGACTTTTTCGAATTTAATGTTCACCCGAACTAAATTTTCAACTGTAAAGCTCCTTATCTACCTTCACTTTGACTACAGCACTGAAACTGTGCGTATCCTGAATTTTGATTTTGTTCCATCATTTTTAGGGTACATAACTTCATTTGATAACGCAGACTTTTTATGAAATTACTGATTTTGATCTACTGATTTTGAAATAAACGAACCGTATAAAATGCTATAATCATAAAACCATTTATATTTGATCATTTTTATTCCTATTTGCATCGCGACAAAAATGGAACATGTCTAGATACGAGGTGAAAATGATGATGCAACATATTGTTGACGATGATATCATCAATGCGGGTGTATCTTCACTTAGCACAAAGTTGGCCATACGTCTCGGTTCATTGTACCATGTTCATTACGTTGTCTTTTTCGGAAACCGTACAACAGGTTTCATTTTATAATTTCATCTATTTTTTTTTATTTGTTTACGCAACTAACTATTAAATCAGTTAGCTATTTCAGTTTTTCCATCCCTAGCTGGCCTTTCTAAGAGCCATACGAATATTACACAGCCTGCCCTCTAAGATTGGAGGGGTTAAGATTTAGTTAAGTAGTGCGTAGCTGAAATTATTTTTCTACATAGATAGAGTTGAGATTTGTTTCAAAACAAGTTTGTTTTTTCAAAAATGTCGTTCTGGTGTTATATAATAATCAAACGGCGCTTTTTGCAAGAAAATTTTGCATACACCCAAGCGACAGTAATTCAATCAAACATTTTATTGCAACTCTCGGGATTCTTTTTGCGTTTGAACTCGGCCACAGCTTGAAATTGATACGTATGGCAACAATGCTTCTATTAATATATATTTCTTCTAATATATCACTTAAATTGTATCTAAACAATTTTTTTTCATCGTCGCCAAAAAGTAACATCCATCGAGACTAGCTCCAGGTATCAGGCAGGCACAGCTTCCTGCATGACTGATTCGCCTGTTTTGCTGGAATCTTCCCCGTATACTTCGCTTATCAAGTGCAAAGATGAAACTGCATCTATTTTATCAGAGTAACTTTTGTTTTTTTTTTTTAGAGTATGCTGGTTCGACTGCATAGAGATTCCTGTCTATTACATGTAACGTCTGTGGTAGTGGGCTGATCCACGTGTGGTTGCATGCAGACGTTTGCTGTTGTGTCGGGAGGTGAAATACTGTTGGGAATATCGGTAGGGGAGAAAAATTATTGTCATCTCAAGTTTGACTATCACTCCAGATTGCTCTGTTTTTATTCGGTCTTATCGCTCAATCTTTATGAAATTAATTTGAGAAATTATTTTTTTGTCCTTAGATAAATTTTTAAATTAACCATTCATTTAAGCAGCCATTTAACCAGTCAACTTGCCAGCCAATTAACCAACCGATTAAATTAGCTAACTAATAAAATTATTTAATTATAGTTAATTAATTTATGATGATAATAATAATAATATTATTATTAATAATAATCAGTTAATTAAGTGTAAATAAATATGCAGCGAGGTGATTATCACTTTTCAAAATCCAGCCTTAATTACTGAAGTTATGATCCACGGGCTGAGTAAGAAAATCTTTTTTTATTAAAATTTTAATATAACGTTCTAAATTATTATTAATATTATTATTCAAGAATTAATTATAACGGAGCGTTATAATAAATAAATAAATAATAAAAATTGGTTAATACAATTAGCTTATAGAAATGAGCAAAACTTGCTGCTAACACGCTGAAACTCTTCAACCCGTTTAACAAAATCAGAGTCCCCAGTGGAGAAATTCGACTTCTACATTGGTTGTTACAGAAACTTGTTCAGAAGCGTACTTATAGGATTGGTTTCCAACATAAACGAATGTCAAAAGCGTTGCTTGGAAATCTCGTTCAAATTTAGTGCCACTGGTGACGACGGGTGTAGATGCGTTAATTTATTCTTTGGTAAAGTTAGGAGTGCCTTGTGCACTGGGCCATATGTTGACCCAAATTTTGGAGTTTTTGTAGGCAGGGCTGGAACTTACGCTATTTACAGAGGTTGTCGTCGTCGTTGTTGTTGTTTTGTTTTTAACTATTTATTGATTGTTTCCTTTGATGTTTGTTTGTCTGACTGTCTGAATGATTGTCGTGCGATTTTCTGTCTGTCTGACTGACTGTCTAGACGAATCTCTGAATGATAGTCTAGTGTTTGTCTTTTTTGCTCTGTCAGATTGATTGCTGTCTATGTCTATGTCCTTGCCCCTTTTCCTATTTGTTTTCTTGTTATGAATGAATAAATAAATGTTGAAATAGTCTGTCTTTTTACTCAAATGAAGAATGGTATTCAAGGTATACTATTACACAGGCACACACACACACACAAATGTAACAACGTTGTAACATTATCAGTTGAAAGGAAGCTAGTACCTAATTTCGTCTGCAAGTGCGCTCCAATTGGGGAAAGAATATCACCAATAGCAGACTTTTTCACACGAGAACCAGGGGCTTGCTTATCTGCCTGTCGGAGCCACAGCACTTTTTTCCTAACGGTAAATTATTATTTATATTTAATAATAAAGTTATTATTATTATTGATGTTATTAATCATATTATTAATAAGCCGGGACCATAAAATCAAATGTGATCAGTTGACATCGTCTTTCATTGAGAGATTGAGGTGTGTGTGTGTGTTTGTTGCTGTTTCAGCGGAAACTGAAATAAAAATATTTAATATTTAGTATAATATAGATGATGATAATAATAATAATAAGAAGGAGAAAAATGTGTCACAAACATGTTAAAAGCATGTTAAAAACTTCTCGGATGAATCTCTACGGGATCCTGTTGAACTCTGGATTCGTCAATGACCAACTTTAAACAAGCTGTGAAAATTGGGGATGATAATAAAAATAATAACAAAATTTAATTTTAAATATCGTCATTTTTTGATCACACTAGCCGGCAGGGAATTGTCAATGTGACGGTGCTTGTTTTTGCGTAGATGGCCGAGCAAGCTCTCTCTACATAGGTACGAAATGTTTACATTAATTGGGTTTACAGAAACTGGCTTTACAGTAACTTCAACATAACATACAAAAGCAAACAAACACGCACACACACACACGTGCACACACACACACGTTAACACACACACGCACACACAAGAAAATGAAGCTTTTAGATTTTTAATTAACTAATAAATCTTCGCACATATCACATATCGTCACGCAAACGCCTACACTCGTATCACACCCACATGTATACACACTTACACAAACACACACACACGCACATACACACACTTAATCACACACCCAAATACACTCGAACGCATCAAAACAGCTGACGTTCAAAACACATCGACCTATGAACCACCACACTTTGGTAACACGACTGCGTGGTCATGTTTGCGGGGATGGACTGGCACGTTTTGCGATAAAAGAAGTAAAGTGCTTTTTCATCTCGTTCTCCCCCTCCTTTTTGTCCATTTCACCTCTCTCCTTCTCTTTTTCATATTTTTCTATTTCTCTCTATACAAATCCAAACCCAAACATTTTATTTGATTAAGAACAAATAAACTCTGACGAAGAGGCTCAAATATAAAGAAAATAAATTTCAGCCTGCCACCTCTACAAGTAGCCTGAGCAAAATAAAATTATTATGATTTGTAAGATGATCAGTAGTTGAGGAAATGCATTAAGCAAAGAATCATAATTGGACAGAAGAGTGAACAGAGCATAGATTTCAAAATAAAATAAATATTTTTTCTCTTTACATTGTATTAATTTTTTAATATTCAATTAATTCAATCAATCAATTAGTTTAAAAAGCGCTATTTCTGCAACGTTCAACAGCGCTCTTCAATGAATTTTGCAAACAGATGGGTCTTGAAATCCGCTCTGAACTTTGTAAGTAATTGAGAAGTAGTCAGAGAAGGAGGTAGAAAGTTCCAGAGAGTAGGGCCAGAAAAAGCAAATGCAAATTTAGAAAAAGAGTGCTTAACACGAGTTAAGAAGATGTCAGAACAAAAAGACGATCGTAAACCGGGGTGTTTAGGTTTAATTAATATATCTGATAAGTACTTAGAAAATAATTTGGAGATATATGAGAGAAAATGGGATTTATGTTGTTCTTTGGATTAGTTTATTGTTTCTATTACTGTTGGTATTCAAATAAACGCTCAACAAAGTTTGCGTTCATCTATTTGAAATCTTGAACCTACCCACTCCTGAAATAACAAACTCTTGACTATTGTTGGAAGCTACAACACTGGTGTTGAAAATATAGAGATCTTTGAAATCAAAACAACGGTGTTGGCAGTTACGGGCTCAAGGATTTACAACAATATTTCGATGGAGTTAGGGCTAATTAGTCATTTTTTTTCAATAAAAAATCGTCCGTCCTACAATCAAAATTATATTGATTAATAAAATAATTTATATAATAATAATATTATTAATAATAATAGTTATTATCACGCTAAATAAAGGCTAAATAAAATATATCAGAAGCGCTATTAAATAGATTTGCTCAGCTAGTATCTACATTATTGAAACGCTGACGCAAAAGATTAAGTCACAGTGAAAATAAACATTAATTAATTATTAATAACAATTTTATAATTATTAATTCTTTTATAACTTAAAATCAGTCAGCCCGTGTAGTGGTCGCCTGTGCTCGCATCGGTGCGTGACGACAAACGTCGGTGGCCAGGTTTTGGGCGAGTGCCTCTGCAATCTGGGCTATTACGATCCTTATTTTGATAGCCTATGCATTGGTCAGTTTGTCGTTAATACTATTACAAATTGGAGATGATAATTATTTTTATTATTGCCTTTTTTTTTCGTCAGTTCCCATTCGATTTATGTGTGCAGAAGTGAAGTGTGATGGTTAATTGCACGGGTGACTGCATGATTGGATGGGTGAATGAATGAATGAATGAACGGGCGGATGAATGGATGGGCAGAGAAAAATTAATTCATAGATAGACGAATGAATAAATAGTCGGACTCGTCTATCTAACCAGTAGGTCATGCATTCATACATTCATCCATCTATCCATCCATCCATCTATCCATCTATCGATTCATCCATCCATCCATACATTTATCCATCCATCTATTCATTCATTCATTTGTTCGTTCGTTCGTTCATTCATTCATCCATACATCTATCCATTTATTCATTCACTCATTTTTTATTTTCTATCTGTCCATCATTTGAAAAAGTGTTTAACGAATGTCTCTTGGTACCTGGGATCTGTGACCCGGCCTCATGCTACGATACCCTTGAGTCATACATCTGCTACACAAATAATACACGTTTGGGATTGGTTGATTGAATGATTGATTGGTTGAATGATTGATTGGTTGAATGAATGAATGAATGGATGAATAAATGATTAAATGATTGAATGAATGAATGAATGAATAAATGAGTGAGTGAGTGAGTGAGTGAGTGAGCGAATGAATAAACTGATATGGCTGACTGAAAGATTGAAAGATTGAATGAATGATTGATTGATAGTAGTCTTTCGTAGTGTAATTAATTATAATTATTTATAATTAATTAAAAACAATTATAAATAATTTAAAATATTTTTTCTACGTCACAGAGGTCAAATGGCCAGTTATGACAGAACCTCTTATTTTGCCTAACATTGGTTTTTTATCTCTCTTCTAAATAATAATAATAATAATAATAATAATAATAATAATTAATAATAATAATAATAGTAGAAGTAATAATACTAATGTGAACATATTTTATTTATTCAATCGACAAAATACAATTCGAAATAATAAGAAATAAGAAATGAAGTTTAATAAAAATTGAGTTTTAATGAAATGTACGATCCTCCTAAGCTCGATGACGCTGCAAGTGCATAGGAGTGAAAGATATATTTAATTATACATTGTTTCTCTCGCAATAAATACTATAATAATAATAATAATGATAATAGATATAATGATGATGATGATGATGACAATAAAATTATTGGTAAATAATAATTAATAACTATAATAAAAATATCTATAATAATAATAATAATAATTATTATTATTTTTTTTTACACATCAGGGCATTTGGCATGGGATGTTGAATCTATAAATTTGAACTTCACCCGTGGTTAATAATTTTCATTATCACTACTACCACCTCAATTACTACTATTACCATTACTATTACTACTACTACCACTACTACCACTACTACTACTACAACTACTACTACTACTACTAAAACTACTACTACTATCGCTACTACTACTACAACTACTACTACTATCACTACTGCAACTACTACCACTGCTACTACTACCACTACTACTACCGGTGCTCCTATCACCGTCAATAAGTATTACTGTTTACAGTATTATGATGATGATAATAATAACGATGAAGATGATGATGACGATGATGAAGATGAAAATGATGATGAAGATAAGAAGAAGAAGAAGAAGATGATGATGATGATAATGATGATGATGACGACGTTGATGAGGAAGAAGATGATGATGATGATGAAGATAAGATGATGATAATGATGAAGATGAAAATGATGATGAAGATAAGAAGAAGAAGAAGAAGATGATGATGACGTTGATGATGATGATGATGATGATGATGATGTTTTTGGCACAAACAGTTGCTACTTCATTCAAATTGCTGATCGATTTGAACGAAGAAAAATTTGTTGAAAATGTTAACTACTGGACACCGCGCGGCAGTGATGTTATCCTAAGTTAGTTGTGAATGAATGGATGAATGAATGAATAAATGAATGAATGAATGGATGGATGGATGGATGGATGGATGGTTGGATGGATGGATGGATGGATGGGTGGATGGATGGATGAATGAATGAATGAATGAATGAATGATTTGATGAATTAGTAAATTATTGATCAAATGGACGAATGAGTTTGTGTTATAAAAAGATGATTTTTTCATTTATTTGTTCAAATACACACACCTCACATTACGCCCTAATGACAACTGCTCCAGCGATACTAACAAAACACATAGGGTACGAAAAACGACCCTTCACACACAAACACAAACATAAATACAAATACAAACACACACACACATACACACACACATAAATACACACATACACACACACACACACACGTACAGGCAAAGTTGCTCTGTACGACTCAAGCAATAGAGAGATGTGTAGTTCCACGGCTCCAACTGGGCCACTGACATGCTCAGGTAATAGGTTGAGTCGTTACTTGATACTCGAACTGACAAAACTTCCTGATCCGATAGACTCTGCGAACTTTTTTATATCTCCAATCGGTTTTACGTTCACTAGCGGTTCGTTGTGTTATCTCTCAATGGATGAGTTGCTTGAGTTGATGAATGCTTGGATGTGCAAACGAAACGAAACGAAACGGCAGGATATTTTATTTGCTCTATTAAATTAAAATTACCGAAAAAATAAATGGATGAATCAATAGATGAATGAATGAAAGAACAAATGAATGAATGAATGAATGAATGAAGGAAGGAAGGAAGAAATAATAAATATCGTAACTTGCAGTTGATAGAGCCTTCGAGCAGTTGTATCCTCTCTTCATGGGTTGTGTGACTGACGTTGTAACCGATGGAAGTGAATATTATTACAGTTTCGAAGAAATTGAAGACTTCATGGAGTGTAGCAGAATTTGCGCCCGGACGAATCACGCCTTCTATTCCGTCAAAGTCCGTACCCCTATCGTTGTTATCGCTGTAATGTGCTTGCATTCATGAATTAGTGAATGGACCAATGGATGAAATAATGATTCATGGATGAATGGATGATTGAATGTGTACATTAATGACTGGATGAATAGATGAAGGAATGAATATTTCTAGAGATTGAGTAAATATTGTGGTTGATTTTGTTGCTGGTAATACTGTTTTCGTCGTCATAAATCTCATTAAATATTTTGTTATTGAGGTCTACAGTGTTCTTCGTAGCAGTTTTATTTTTTAGTCTTGGGACAAAAATCCCCGAAACAAAAAACCCTCGGACTTTGGGCTTACCCTCTGGGGCAGAGGCCCTCCCATGACAAAACGTCCCAACGGCGTTAGTAACCCTTTAATGCCATCTTTGCAGAAGTATGAGACCTGTGCATGCGTGAACAGTTTTGGACGTGCCATCCCATCATTCCACTGCAACTCCGGAGATTTAAACATGCTCATGGGGTCAACGGATTTTTACTCTATTATCGCCAGTTATTATTATTATTGTTGTTGTTATTGTTTTTGTTGTTGTTGTTGCATCTATGTTAATCAATTTTTGCCATTTGATTTCAGTTAGGAGCAAGATGACAACCACGGTGGCGCGCGTTGGCTGTGTGTTGGACCGCCAATCAGGAAGTCATTTTCTCGTCAGTTCCATAAGGCTCAACATGACAGTTGACATTTGTTTTGAAATATGTCTGGAGTCCTACAATTATTTTGCTCTCCAGGTGTGTGTGTGTGTGTGTGTGTGTGTATGTCTGTGTGTGTCTCTGTGTATGTCTGTGTGTGAAAGCGTGTGTAAGTGTCATTTAAAAAAAAAACAACAACCCAACAACCAATCAGTATGGAGCTTTATGCAAATGTGGATACACCTACCATCACGAAGGTGTCGGTCCAGATAGCAACTG